TCACAGTAGCGGTCGTGTTCGTACTTTTTCTTGAGCTCCTCAAGATACCTGAGTTGCTGAGTTCCCGGAGCTAAAGATTGAGCCTTCAAGGAGTTGAAGTATCCACAAAAACGGTACTTGCCCGGCTTTTCAAGATACTCATCTGCTCCGTAAGTAACGGTAATAGTAACAAAAACAGTCAAAACAACAATAACACTAAACATTACCAATATTAACTAACTGATACTTGGATCTGTCTTCAAGACACTCATCTGCTCCGTAGAAGATGGATGCCTTGCTGTGGGCGGCCTTTCCTTTGCCACCCAAGAGAGGAGCGCTGGTCGCCATGGGCGCAAAAGGAGTCAGCGAAAATTCGGAAGCCGATGTAAAACCTGCGGAATCCAAGAAATGATGGCTCAAGCAACAGTTCTTCAAGAGACTGCATAATAGCACTAACAGTCATAATGCACCTAAAGCCCTAAAAGTAGCCAGTTATGCACATTAGTCTAGAAGCACAGTTGACACAAGAATGGGTTGTGATCCTGGTCTTCCTGCTGGTGCTACATATGACATTGACATGAACACCCTCAAAGATCTAAAGCGCGGCAAGTATATCGGTATATGGGTGCAGGCTGCAATATATGCTTATATAGCTTCAGAAAGACTTGCAGTACTACTTCAAGAAGAATGCACAGCTGAGTGAATCCAGCTGTAAGATTTGCTCAGACTTGAAATTTCTTGCATCGTTGCATGTACTTGCTGAACAGAAGTGTGGCGACTTCTTCGCAGTTTTGTTGTGTGGTTTAAGGTTTAGTAGTTGAGAGTTCGGGTTTGGAGTGGAGTTGATTAGGGCTCACAGACGCATGCAGATCGGGCCGAAGACACTGCTGCATTCTCTTTTCCTGTCGGGACAAAATCATGTGCACTACTTGAAACAACCGATGCAGGCCAACGCGCAGCATGCGCAGGCATGCTCAAAAGCGGCCCTACAGCTCAATTACGAGGAAGAGGCCACGATTCTGACTTCAAATCGGCAGAGCTAACCTACCTCGACTACGGGAACCTGCAAAGCTCCCTTCTCATTGCTATACCCCTCGACCGTCACTTGGCGGATCAGATCACCACGGCGATGGCTGATGCAGAGGAAGTGCCGTTGATGTACTTGACATGCCTGGGCGGCTCGGAGTTTTCTGGAAGGTTTAGTTTTAGGATGGGCTTTAGGGTTTAGGGTTAGGGCTGGCCGCCTTGGTACACCAGGCACCGTGCACTTACACCTCTCTACATCATTAATCATAAACCATAAACCCAAGGGGCCCAAAGGACCCAATAGGGGTTTAGGGTTTAGGG